TCAAATATAACGGTAATTCCTTTTCAAAATTTTTCAAGAACACGTCAGTTTTTTCGACTTTATCAACCAGTCCACACCTGCAAATCACTATAAATGATTATTAATAATTATAGTATAGTATTATTAAATTATAGTAAAACAAATAATTCAAAATTGTACCTGTCAGTGNAATTATTATTAAATTATAGTAAAACAAATAATTCAAAATTGTACCTGTCAGTGCAAGTCCATTCCTTAAAATGAATTTCAGAAATACGCTTAGCCTTGAAACAAGAGGAAAGATTTTTGGACAGCAATGAAACTCCGGGACATTGATCACAAGCTAACAAATTGCAACGGTCATTTGGATAGGGACAGATAATTTGTTTGGTTAAGTCACTTATCGAATATGTTTGACCCGATCCTGTTAATCCATGAATTTTAAATTTCATGTTTTGGTGCGTTTTGCAAACACATACTTTTACACCCAACAACTACGCAAGAAGCTGGTCGAAGGTTTGTGAATTTAGAGACTTGTCCTTACATCCGGATATTTCCACAAAAAATTTTTATGAGGCTCTCTCAAATTACAGAGCAACAGCCTTTCTTGAACACTATTTTTATTTCCATTGATTCAAATTGAAATACAGTCTTTCTTCCCGGGCATAAAACGCGTGTTTTTATCCATTTCATAAAATAGTTGAACCTTTTCAACAACGGAATTCGCTAAAACTCGTCCAATTTTTTTATCAGGAGATGCAACATATCCTGATTTTTTTTCGCAATTTAGGTACAGTTTCAGCCATGTAACGGGTACGCCTAATAAATTACGAATTTTCGCAGCATTCCAATCTATAGGCACTGCTGTTAATAATTGGATTTTTTTCGTGTCCCCTTCCTTTGACAAAGCGACTTTAACGTTTGCTGTTGTTGCAACATCTATTTTAAAGTCGGGTGCAATTAAATTTTTTCCTTCGTCACAAGTAAGGAATTCTCCTAAAAAACGAGATCAAAAAGATGAATGGACGTATTCTTACTTAACCCTAGAATACTAGCCTTATTTTTTATTCCTTTAATACTAACGTTCGCCTGTGAGGCTACTTTGAAAAAAAGTACAAATTCCGTCTTTCTAAAACCTTAAATTTGTTTAAAAAATGGCTTAAACATATTTCATATGTTTTTAAAGTAAAAACATAAAATAATTTAATATTTTTTTTTAATATTAATAAAAATAGTTCGTATTGAAAATAACACGTATTTTATAATCTTTTTGAAAGGGGTCATTTTAATAGATTAAAAAAAAAAAAACAAACAATCCATAAATTATCTTAAATGTATTCGTAACGGGTGAACACACCAAAACTGCGACACTTAGAAATTACTACCAGAAACAAACTAGAAGGCTTTGAAATTATTTTTTCTTGTATTATATAACTTGGAAGTTTAGATGTTACTAAAATGTTAAAATATTAGTTATTATTTGCTCCATATGCAAGTGATCGGTATTTTCATCGCACACGCGCCATCATGTTCTGCACGACTGCATCATCGACTTTACGCGATGCGCACAACTACTTTGTTTTGCACTCTTCAATATTTTTCACTGTTTCAACTGTTTTCTGCAAGATTTCTTTGACAATTGACCAATATTCCCCAATAGGACGTGGCTCTGGGCTATTGGGTGGATTGCAGTCGTGAGGTACAAAATTGATGTTATTTGCATTATACCACGGCAATGTGTCCTTGGCATAGTGGCAGGTTGCCATGTCCGCGTAGAACAGTGGCCTACTCCTTATCTGTTGATAAACGACAGAAGACGCTTTTTGAGGCACTCATCCCGGTAAACTTGATCATTCATTGTCCCGGGTGGGAAAAAGGGCTGCTCTTACGGCCACAGGATCAAATAGCTTGCCAAACCATGTGGTTTTTTGGAAATTTGGACTTTATTTTCAGCTTACAACTTTCAGGGGCATCTTGACGACTTGCACCAGTATAAAAATCTTGACCTACAATATATTTTGAATTTTTATAGCAGTAGGTTTCGTAGTCCGTAACAATGCAGTTGTATTTTTTAATTTAGAATTCATACAACTTCCGAATGCGGGATTTCGCTGTAACATTCTACTTTGCGCCTCGGTCTGGCGCTGTTTGAGCTGTAGAACATCTCAATTAAGCTTTCCGCTTTACCTTTTGTACGAAAAACTGCGATCTGCGTACGGGTTTTGCAACATAACGCGACAAAATCTTCGGATTTCGCGAAAACGCACTGAGGACCTTCCGAGCACTGTTTTTATCACTTTGACCATGCTAACCCCCGCTCCCTGGTTTTCTCGTAACTGCCAAGCCTTATTTGTACCGATTAAAACCCTGCAAACTGTCGAATAGTGCAATCTTTAATTTTTGAGCAATTTTACGTGTACTTAAGGCCGGATCATTTATAAACTCGTGCAAAATGGTTTGTCTCGTTTCTAACTCGGTTGCCATTTTTAACTCAACTAGGAATCAAATTCAAATGAAATTTCTTCTACGTCCAACTAAGGCCATGTGGTCAGCTTATGGTATTTGAATTTCAAAATATCGAATTCGTTTTGGGTAAGTTATAAGATTCCCAAAGTGTCGCAGTTTTGGTGTGTTCACCCTTTATTTACTTTCACACTTAAAAGGAATTAGTTGTTTATCTTTTCTATTGTGACCTGTACTTAAAAATGAAATCGACTTTTTTGTATCAAATTGGGCCTTATGAATAAAAACTAAGCAATTATTTTTTCTTAAAATTTCAGATCCTTTACGTAAAGTTATTTGAATAAATCAAGCATAAGGCGCATTTACTGAAATCTTCTTCCAAATTGTTCTCACTATCGGTTCCATTCAACGATATTTCTTCCAACCATTTTAGAACTTGTTCTTCGAAAAGTAAAAAAAAAGCATAAAGTTCAAAACAGAAAATAGCCAACAAACATGTTAAAAACTGAAATAAGTACAGCAAACAAAATTACCTTTACTACTAACGTTCGCCTGTCAGGCGTCAAGAGGGCGTGGAACTCAGCCACGGAAGGCCACTGTACAATGTGCGCCTGCTAACAACCTCGTACAGTGCTAAACTGAGTTGGCGCGAACGTTTACTTTGATCATTAAAAGCGTTCCTGAAATATCGCGCGGAAACCGCCTCACAGGCGAACGTTAGTATTCTAGGGTTAAATAACTGGCAAAAAGTTAATTTTACCTTCAAAATCTGAATCGGAGTCACTGTCGTTACTGTTTTCCTCGCCAGACTCCCGATCAAGAGCAGCGAAAGATATTTGAGATGGTTTTGGTATTGGAATAACATCCCTTCCCTTCTTGATATACATATATTTTGCATGTTTCGCATAAATATTCCCCAATTAAATTTGAAAAAACACTGTTCCGCTTTTCAGTCACTTTTGAGATAAACTCTGTTATGTTTTTCTTTACGCAATGGATTACAACATGATTTAGGAGGTGACATATTTATTTATACTACAATTGAAAGACGAGACAATTAATAAATGCAAAAGCAAAACCGCCAGTAAGATGTCTAATTTAACGAGTATCACAAAAGAATGTGCTTTTGCAATACAAAACGAGCGCTTCCATAAAAAAATTTCATTGGCGACAAATTCATGCGCTGATTTAAATTTTTATTATATTACGGGAAAAGTTTGCGCCCAATATCAACATTATTTGGATTATAATTGCTAAAGTAAACGTGGCTCGGAATTTTTTTGCAGATTTGAATACCTCGAAGTTTTGTTGTTAAACTAAATTTTTTTGAGATTTTTATGAGGCGCAGAACAAAAAAAAATGTATAGCTTATAAATAATTGCATTACAAATTATGAAAAAATTAGTTTTCCAAAAATTTAAGATCGATTCTCTAAAGTAAGATTCCTTCCCTCTAATATCCCAAAGTTTCGTTAAAATCGGTTCATCGCTTAAAGAATTACAAGTTTTTGTTTAAAAAGTTATCGAACATTTCACTTGACAATAACAATAACTTGACAGAAAAAAAATTTAAGTTTGGAGAATAATTGTTAAGGTCAACCTGAATCGTTTTTTCTACATCGCGTCAAAAATTAAGACATACATGTTTTTGTGCTGATTTCACAAATTCTGACCCAATTTTAAATTCTAAAGAAATTTCCTCTTTAATTTGGTGCCCATATTTTTATTTGTACATTGTATTGATTTTATTTTAATAACTTTTGAAATCAATATCATCATATCTTTGAAATTACAAAGGCTGCATTTCTTTATTCATTCTGAACGTTTGGAATAAACCTCTTTGTTTACTTATTCTTTAGAACGTTCCTGATGATATGTTAACGTATATTTCAAACGCGTTCTGTTTATTCTGGCTGTGAAATCGGATTATCCGGAATGTATAAAGAAACGCAGCCAAAGTCCTCTAAAATAAATGCAGAGAGAAAAAATAAAAACGCCTCTTTTAGTAAAAAAAAGTACCATTTAAACCCATTATTTATTATTTATTTTAGGTAGGAGAGCTTCGCAAACAATATAGATGCAGTTTTTTTCGATTTATGTTGTTGAAAAGTAATGAATATCTAAATCCCGCGATCCCGCAACGGGACAATAACATTTTTTGATGTATTGTGGAACGATTTTTTGTCATCCTTTTTAAATCTGGCTTCCAGACAAACCGATTTCGGAGTTGTGCCATCTTCAGTGCCGTTTTTCGTTTTGAATATGTAGTTTCTGTTTGTCCGTCGCTATTTATAGCAGTGCTAAAGCTATGATTGTCAGACGTACTGATTTTATCAGTACAGTACTGATTTTTCAACTCTTGTACTGATTTTATTCATTTCTTCAATCAGCACGCTAATGTCCTGATTTTTCAAAATGTGTACTGATTTGTACTGAATTTTCAATTCAAACCAAATACTTTAGGATTTTCTTAAGGTTTTTACATAACGTTGGAACTTCCTTAAACTGTACTGTAAAAAGTAAGAAGAAAATAGTTTAATTATAGTAGACATGTTTCAGATAATGTTTCATATGCCCAAGAAATGAATACAACAAAAAGTTCCATCGTTTTGTGGGCATATCGCCGGGTCGTTACGTACCAGTTGCGATAATATGATGGAGCTTAAACTATTTAAACAGAACAGTGACGTGTTGCTAGTTATATCGAAAATAACTTTTAGTTTAATAACAACAAATTTGAATACTCGAATGGCTTTCGCCTATAACTTACAACTCTTTTCACAATTTACTGACATTGTAAAAGTGTTTTGCATTTAAGACATAGAGCTAGATACTCCTTTTTAGCGAATTCTTACCCTTTCAAAGTTTTTGCGTAGTTGAAAAAATTAATTTAAGCCATAAGGAATTATAAACGAAGTCCTTAAATAGTGGTACTTTTCCACAGTTTGAAAAAATTTGTAGTTTTGTCTTTTTTTTTTCAATGCCACACTCAAACGAAGCAACTGAGAGCATCTTAAGTATAAAGTTTGCCCTCCTGGCGCAAAGAGATAAACCGGCTTCTAATTAAAATTATCTAAAGTGAACTTCATATTGAATTTTAATTGAATTTATCCCCCTTTTACAAACTCATTTATATATACTTTACTCTAAACACCTCCCATATATACATATGTATGTCTACATACCAAATTCCAAGTTCATGTGACTATGGTTTAGAGCTCTTGTTAGTCGACTAGTCGACTAATCGGTTAGTCGAATAGCAAAAGTTGTGTCAAAAAATAATCGACTTCACTTAATCGAATAACCGTTTCCCTTCGACTTTTTCAACTAACCGCTCACAAACAACTAGTCCATTATCCGTTCATTTTCGATTTTTCGACTAGTCGTTTTCTTTCAGTAAACATTGTTTTTTTTATATTTTTTGAATACTTATGCTTATTGACATAACCCAACCACGCTAATAGCAATAATTTTATGGTGAAAAACTGTCACTATTCGAATAATTTCGGTTAGTCGATTTTCAGACTACTCGATAGTGAGCGGTTAGTCGAAAGTGAACGGTTAGTCGAATTCGAGCGGTTAATCGAATAATTGCTATTCGACTATCAACCGACAAAAAAGTTGTTAATCGACTAGTCGACTAACCGAATAGCCGGATAGTCGATTTTTAACAAGAGCTCTCCTATGGTTCCCAATTTATGGCTGATTAAAAATTCCACGCCTATGCTCCACGTTCCCTTTTACAAACTCATGTATACAAACCTTACTATAAGCACCTACCATGGATATGTATTCATACTGAAGTTCATATTCTTGTGAATTATAGTTCCGAAGTTGTAGCTGATAAAAAATGTCTCGCCTGTGGGTTGTGCCCCTTTCAAAAAACTCATTTATACATTCAATTTCACCTGACATATGGTTCCGAAGTTATAGCTGATACAATTTTCCACGCCTATGGTATGTGCCACGCAACCTTTTGCAAACTCATATATATATGCCTTACTATAAGCGCCGACCATAGATATGCCTGCTTACCAAACTTCAAGTTCATAGAACTTATGGTTCGGAAGTTATAGCTGGTAAAATATTCCTCGCCTATGCAATGTGCCACGCCCCCTTTTATAAAATCATTTATATATAGCCTACTATAAACAACTATCATAGATATATATTTATTTATTTATTTAAGTGGGAGCAGTAGTTGTACATGTAAGTCAATAATCTTTTAACAGTACATGAACTTAATTAACTAACATTATATTCAGTACTGGCCAATACAATAGCACCCCCATCTCAAAGTGATATTGTTTGCCACTCATGTTTATTTATTTATTTTTAATAATTTTCAATTAAAATACAGTTCATTCTCTCTCAAAACTCATATAAACCCATGTGTTAAACTTCTTAAAAGACCGCAAAAAAGTGCAACAAATTTACACCCAAATTTCAAACTTTTTTCTCAGAAGCGGTAGAATTTTTTTGAATACGCAGTTTTATAGCCCATCCAATTTTAGTCAGATAATGTGCAAGTTTCAAGTGGCTAAAAATTACCGTTGATTTTTTAGAATTATTTTAGCCGAGGATGTTGCGGGTTTCTGTCATATAAAAACAAAATTGTGTTTAGTCGTTATATGGAAGCAAATGAGACAAAAAAAATTCTAAAAAATCAACGGTAATCTTTAGCGACTTGAAAATTGCACATCATTGGACTAAAATTGAATGCGCCATGGATGAGCCTGCCCTAAAAACTATGCAACGAATCTATTTCAAGTATGGAATTAACAATAACAACCACGCTGTCAAACTTTAATTGCGGTGAATCAGCTGCACTTGATAGTAGTAGGTTGAATAAGGAAATGGATTAGCAACAAAAGCTTACGGTGTGCATAGCTCAGTGGTTAGCGCTTCTGCCTTTGCACATCGATGACGCGGGTTCGATCCCTGCTGAAAGTCTAGGGAAAAAAAGAAGTCTGATGAGGACATTTGGCGATCTCATTGTTGTTTCTTCCATTTTTCCTAACAAACAAATCGTGGTACAAAGCTCAATAACACTATTGAAATAAATATGAATACGCCACAATAAAAATTGACAAAAAAATATATGGGATGAGCCTGCCGTAAAAACTATGCAACGAATCTATTTCATGTATGGAATTAACAATAACAACCACGCTGTCAAGCTTTAATTGCGGCGAATCAGCTGCACTTGATAGTAGTAGGTTGAATAAGGAAATGGATTAGCAACAAAAGCTTACGGTGTGCATAGCTCACTGGTTCGCGCTTCTGCCTTTGCACATCGATGACGCGGGTTCGATCCCTGCTAAAAGTCTAGGAAAAAAAGAAGTCTGATGAGGACATGTGGTGATCTCATTGTTGTTTCTTCCATTTTTCCTAACAAACAAATCGTGGTACAAAGCTCAATAACACTATTGAAATAAATATGAATACGCCACAATAAAAATTGACAAAAAAATATATGGGATGAGCCTGCCGTAAAAACTATGCAACGAATCTATTTCATGTATGGAATTAACAATAACAACCACGCTGTCAAGCTTTAATTGCGGCGAATCAGCTGCACTTGATAGTAGTAGGTTGAATAAGGAAATGGATTAGCAACAAAAGCTTACGGTGTGCATAGCTCACTGGTTAGCGCTTCTGCCTTTGCACATCGATGACGCGGGTTCGATCCCTGCTGAAAGTCTAGGGAAAAAAAGAAGTCTGATGAGGACATTTGGCGATCTCATTGTTGTTTCTTCCATTTTTCCTAACAAACAAATCGTGGTACAAAGCTCAATAACACTATTGAAATAAATATGAATACGCCACAATAAAAATTGACAAAAAAAATATATGGGATGAACCTGCCTTAAAAACTATGCAATGAATCTATTTTATGTATGGAATTAACAGAAACAACCACGCTGTCAAGCTTTAATTGCGGCGAATCAGCCGCACTTGATAGAAGTAGGTTGAATAAGGAATGGAGTAGCTCAGTGGTTAGCGCTTCTGACTTTGCACATCGATGACGCGGGTTCGATCCCTGCTGAAAGTCTAGGAAAAAAAAGAAGTCTGATGAGGAGATGTGGTGAATTCCCAAACAGCTGCTATAACTTCTACCGCTTAAGCAGTGTTGTTTTTTCCATTTTTCCTAACAAACAAATCGTGGTACAAAGCTCAATAACACTATTGAAATAAACCAATTTTTTTAAGAGATCGAGTCATGGGTAAAAAAGTAATTTCTCCGTTTTTCGAAGTTAGCCTCCGAAATCGAGATATGGGCCTTCGAAGTTCGAAATAGGACCTTTGGTAAAAAATTATTTTTTATTATTATATGTAGATAACTAAAAAACTAAAAATACAGTCGTAGACCGCCCTTTGCTCTTATTGAAATGGTTTATAAATTTTTTTTGGACACTTATATTACACGTAAGAGGGAAAGGTCGAGTCTTCCAAAAATTAAAAACCTTTTATTTCAAACAATTTTGAACTGATTTTTAAGAAGTTGGTATCGTTGTAAACGTGATTAGACCCCCTTTTTCTCTTCTGATATGCATATTTGTATACTTTTTATGAAAAAATTTGAGAAAAAACATTTAAAAGGAAAAAAAATCTTTTTTATAAAAAAAAAATATTTTAACAAAAAATTACTAATCGATTTTTAAAAAGTTGATATCGTTGTAAACGCAATCAAACCTTCTTTCTTCTGATATGCGTATTTGTATACTTCGTATATAAAAATCTGAGAAAAAACACTTAAAANTAAAAATTTGAGAAAAAACATTTAAAAGGAAAAAAAATCTTTTTTATAAAAAAAAAAATATTTTAACAAAAAATTACTAATCGATTTTTAAAAAGTTGATATCGTTGTAAACGCAATCAAACCTTCTTTCTTCTGATATGCGTATTTGTATACTTCGTATATAAAAATCTGAGAAAAAACACTTAAAATGAAAAAAACCTTTTTTATAAAAAAAGGTTTTAAAAAAAATTATTAAAAGATTTTTAAAAATTTGGTAACGTTGTAAGGCGCTTAAATATTCTTTATTCTGGTATGCATATTCGAATATTTTGTATATAGAAATTTTAGGAACAACACGTAAAAGCAAAAAATATCTTTTTTATAAAAAAAATATCTTTTTTATAAAAAAAAATATCTTTTTTATAAAAAAAATATTTTAAACAAAAAAATTACAAACCGAATTTATTAAATTGGNAGGCGCTTAAATATTCTTTATTCTGGTATGCATATTCGAATATTTTGTATATCGAAATTTTAGGAACAACACGTAAAAGCAAAAAATATCTTTTTTATAAAAAAAATATCTTTTTTATAAAAAAAAAAATATTTTAAACAAAAAAATTACAAACCGAATTTATTAAATTGGTATCATTCTCAGGAACTTTATACTTTCTTAATCCGAAACATTTTTATTTATATACACAAAGAAAAAAAATTAATTAAAAACAATTTTTCCCTCTATATAAACTCCTGCCCCCTTAGGGTATACGCCCTTGTATACAAAAAATTAAAGTATTTAAACCGTACATCATACGGTCAGTTTGTTCTTTTAGAGCGCAGACATGGATGGATAACGATTACAGTATCTTCATTTATGTATATTGTAACTATCAATATCTTATAAAGAGAAGTGTAAAATTTTTTTATCTAAAACTAATAAAGTTAGGAGGACAACCTCGAAATGTCGGAAATTTCCCAGGATATTCAAGGATAAAGTTTTAAAAGAACATTTTCAATATTTATTCGTCCTGGTGCAACAAAAAATTAAATTTTATTTAATTCTACAGAATTTTTCCTNCCAAAATAACGATTACAGTATCTTCATTTATGTATATTGTAACTATCAATATCTTATAAAGAGAAGTGTAAAATTTTTTTATCTAAAACTAATAAAGTTAGGAGGACAACCTCGAAATGTCGGAAATTTCCCAGGATATTCAAGGATAAAGTTTTAAAAGAACATTTTCAATATTTATTCGTCCTGGTGCAACAAAAAATGAAATTTTATTTAATTCTACAGAATTTTTCCTTTTAACTGATACCCATATTGTTACTCTACAATGCACCAAATCTTTTAAATAATTTTTTTATTCAATCATATCCTAGAAATTTCAAATTCCTTTAAAAAAAATCCTGACGTCAGAGAGAAAAACTAAAAACGCAGTTTTACTATATTTGGCCTCAGTTTTGTGAATAGATTGATTTTTTCGTGTTAAAATTGACTGTCGCACGGTGTTATTATCAGGGACGTGAACCAGATGAAAAATTTGTTTGGTTCGGTTCAGCGGGTTGAACCGTTTTTGCACTTTTGGATTGGTTCGTCAAAGCGGGTTGTTTGGTCTTTGAACTGGNGGATAACGATTACAGTATCTTCATTTATGTATATTGTAACTATCAATATCTTATAAAGAGAAGTGTAAAATTTTTTTATCTAAAACTAATAAAGTTAGGAGGACAACCTCGAAATGTCGGAAATTTCCCAGGATATTCAAGGATAAAGTTTTAAAAGAACATTTTCAATATTTATTCGTCCTGGTGCAACAAAAAATGAAATTTTATTTAATTCTACAGAATTTTTCCTTTTAACTGATACCCATATTGTTACTCTACAATGCACCAAATCTTTTAAATAATTTTTTTATTCAATCATATCCTAGAAATTTCAAATTCCTTTAAAAAAAATCCTGACGTCAGAGAGAAAAACTAAAAACGCAGTTTTACTATATTTGGCCCCAGTTTTGTGAATAGATTGATTTTTTCGTGTGTAAAATTGACTGTCGCACGGTGTTATTATCAGGGACGTGAACCAGATGAAAAATTTGTTTGGTTCGGTTCAGCGGGTTGAACCGTTTTTGCACTTTTGGATTGGTTCGTCAAAGCGGGTTGTTTGGTCTTTGAACTGGGGTTTCGGTTCGGTTCAATGGTTCGAAAAACAAAAAAATTATACGCAAGTTTAAGTGTCAAATGTCAAGTGCAACAACGCGCAAGGTTAAGGGTCAAGTCTCTGTCAAATGAGATGGGTTGCCTTTACATTTGATATTGTCACATGGTAAACAAACATGATGGGTATTACCATGTTTACCAAAAAGAAAAAAAGTGGGTACATTTATCTATTGAAAATTGGTTGAAACGAACCTTTCAATCTTTATAGAAAGTGGTTCGGTTTTCGGTTCGGATCAAACATTTGTGGAAAATTTCGGTTTGGTTAATGGTTCAGTTAATTAATAGAAAAGAGCGGTTTTCCGGTTCAAAACCGGTTCACGTCCCTGGTTATTATAATAAATTTGAAATATTGTTTGCTTACATTTCGGTCAACCGCGCAAGTAATTATTAAAGAAGTATTGAATAAAAACAGCAAATTTTGTTTAATTTTAAATATGGTTTCACAGAGTGCGTTATAAAGGCACAGGCAAAAACGCTTTAAAGAAATATGTGTTNTTTCAAAACCG